TTACCAACAAACACGTCTGTGTGCAGCCAATGGCATTAAGCACAAATGTGCCCATTCACATACTGTGTGACTACCATTCCTAGCCCCACTTCAACCTTTCTCGAGTGCTTTCGGGATGAAGGACAGAGATTTAACCTGAACGAGCAATCCTTTTCCTTTCCTTTCCTTTCCTTTCCTTTCCTTTCCTTTCCTTTCCTTTCCTTTCCTTTCCTTTCCTTTCCTTTCCTTTCCTTTCCTTTCCTTTCTTTTCCGAGACATAGTCTGAGGTAGCCTGAGGTGCTTCAGACATACCCTTTAACTAAGGATGGTCTTGAACTCATGATCCTCCTGCCTCCACCTCTCCAGTTCTGATATCACAGGTTTTTTTTTTAAATCTGCATTTATTTTTAGATCCTTGATAACTTCATACATGTGTATGCAGTATCGTGGTCCTAGCCACCACCCACGTCATCCCTCCATCACCCCTTACCCTCCCAATATCCCTTCAGCTTCGTGTCTTTTTGTCAGTAATTCACTAAGTTCAATTAGTACTGCCCATATACGCATGGCATGTAGGACTGTCCTCTGGGACTTAGGCAACCTACCCTTGATCTCTTCCCCGCAAGAAACATGACTCTCCCTCAGTCATCAACAACTGCCATTAGCTTCTCAAGTGGAGGAAGACATAGCCCCTCTTTTCTTCATTATGCAAGTTTTTTTCTCTTTTCATTGTTTTTGAAAATAGATTCTTCTCTTCTACAATACAACCTGACCAGTTTCCCCTCCCTCCACTCCTCCCAGCTATCCCCGCGTCCTCTCTCTCCCAGATCCACTCCCCATCCAGTCTCTTCAGATATTAAATTGCATTTTAAGTGATGCAGCAGCGCCCCCTTCTGGTACATCTGAGGAACTAAGCACAAAGGTGGACCTCTCAGGGAAAGTTGAATGTGGAGTGGAGGGAGAAACAGCGACCCCAGGGGAGATGGCGTCTGTGTTGGGTTTGGAACAATGTCAGTGCTACAAGCCCCAACATTATACAGTAATCGCTCAGCCATCTTCTCGCGAGAGACTTATCAGAACCAAGGGATCTGGTAAAGGCTAAACCAAAAAGCAAAGCTTTTTGGCGTTATTGCCTTGTGAATAAAGTGGCTGTCCTTTGCTGTAGATTTTCCGCTGTGGTTGACTTCCTTTCTGTTACATATTTGGGAATTCACTCCCTAGTTCAGAACAGTTTCCCACTTCCTTGTTCCTGTCTCCTAGGTAAATGCAGAGATCTACCTTCCTGCAATTATTTTTTTCAGCAGATCAGTATTTAGGGTCCAGGCAAAGAGCCTCCAATTTAAGATATTCAAAGATATCCAAGGACATGGACTTACTACTCGCCCAAGCTGATAACAGCATACCCCAGAACTGACAGTTTAGAGGCCTGGGTCCCTTCTTTGTTTCGACCACCTAGAGCAAAACTCCAGGCCTAGGCTGGTTAAAACTGCAGCACCTGTTGTGTGTGCTATCTGATCAAGAGCCATCAGCTTCTCCCTGACTGTTTACGTAGGTTGCTTGGTTCCTGACTCTATGCATGCTGGGAGAAAAGAAGTGTGCGCTGATTTAAACAATCCGTGCCCTATTCATCATTTTACTAGAAATAAACCTTTTAGCTCTTTACACCACCTACAAATATAATATAGCACAATAACCATTCCCCCTAGGATTCCCTGACAATTTAATTCCTTTCTTAACTAACTTTCTCCATTAAGAATTTAATAGGATGTGTGTTAGCCACTCCCATGAATCTGTGTGTGTGTGTATAAAAATTATTATCTGATTTTTTATGGGGCAAAAGAGTTCTGGCCCTGGACCCTGCGAGGACTGGGGGGTTGCTGGTTTTAAGGATGTATATGGCTGGGAACGTTTGTAATGGGCAGAACACGATAGAACAAGAATGAAGAGAGCAAGAGAAAAGAAGAATATAGAATTATGGATAGACGGAAAGTGTTGTAAGCACATTTCTTACCCCTCAGATCTTTACCCTCAGACTTTTAGCCTCCTTTAGCTCATCTAGGTGTCTTTAATTGAACCCTGAAAGGGAGTCTTAAAGACTAGAACTTTAAGACTCCCACAGTGACAGCAGGACAGAAGGAAGAGCTTCTGTTGATAAAATAGATGTTTGTGCTTGCCTATGCTCCCAGCACTCCTGAGTTCCAGGCTAGTGTGGGCTACAGGGTTGTTTCAAATGACATCATCACTAACATTGCCAAGAGCATCCCCATCACACCCAGAAGTACCAACATTGGGACCATTTTGGTGTTCTGGCTTCCAGTATTGTTTCTGTTGTTTTTTGTTTCTGTTTTTGTTTTTTTGTTTTGTTTTGGTTTGGTTTTGGTTTTTTCGAGACAGGGTTTCTCTGTGGCTTTGGAGCCTGCCCTGGAACTAGCTCTTGTAGACCGGGCTGGTCTTGAACTCACAGAGATCCGCCTGCCTCTGCCTCCCGAGTGCTGGGATTAAAGGCGTGCGCCACCACCACCCAGCTTTCTGTTGTTATTCTACACACACACACACACACACACACACACACACACACACTCCTACCACCACCACCACCACAACAGAAACAGGTATTAGGGTTCTATTGGGAGGGAAATCGTAACCTCACACCATCGTGGAGGAGGAAAGCATTGAAAGGAGTGGAGTATGAAATCAGGCACAGGGTGGTCTTGAAAGGGACGCTCACTGGAAAATAACTTGCTATTCACAGAATTGGAAGGGAAAGCAAATGGGACAGAATTAATTGCTTTTGTACAGTTGTGACTAACACACCGGAGAGAGCAGTATAATGAATGAAAATGCATTTGGGCTCACGGTTTCCGAGAGTTTGGCCCTTGTCTCTTAGCCCCATGAATGCAAGCAGAACATCACAGTAGCAAGGGGTGTGGAGGACCCAGAAAGAGAAGTAAGGACTGTGGCCCAGATAAAACTTTCAAAGGCACATCCTCATGACCTACTTCCTCTAGTTAGGTACACCCCGCCCCCTGCAAAGTTTCTAGAACTTCCCAAAATAGCTCTGTCAACTGAGACTAAGTGTTTAAACATTTGCCTGTGGAGGACCGTCTTAGTCAGGGTTTACTATTGCTGTAAAGAGACACCCTGGCCATGGCAACTCATAAAGAAAACATTTAATTGAGGATGGCTCACTTAGAGTTTCAGAGGTTCAGTCTATTAAAGTCATGATGTGGAGCACGGCGTCATGCAGGCAGACATGATGCTGCAGCTGAGAGTGCTACATCTTGACTCAGAGGCAACAGGCAGTTGACTGACTGTCACACTGAGGGAAGCTTGAGAAAAAGAGACCTCACCGCCCTGACAAGGCCACACCTCCTAATAGTGCCGCCCCCTTTGGGGGGCATGTCTTTCAAACCTCCACAAGGACATGTCAGATTCAAACTGTAACAGACAGAAAACTTGGTGTGGTAGAGTGGCTGTCTCAGGGTCAGACTTCACAGAAGGCAAATAAGTTATTAGACTGCCCTAGTTACGCTACATATGTCTCAGAGAGAGAGATTTACAAAAAAGAAAGTTTGAACCAGATGTGGCGTGTGTATCCTAGCACAGGAGGGGCAGAGGCAGGCTGATCTCTGAGAGTTCGAGGCCAGCCTAGGCTACACAGTGAGACTATGTCTTGGGAAAAGAAAAGAAAAGCTTAGGCTGGGGGCATAGCTCAGTGGTCGAGCACAAGCCCAGCATGGATGAGACGCTGGGTTTGATCTTCAGTGCTGAGGAAGAAAGAGAAAGAACTCTTTCATGAAGCTTGTAGTTTGGAGGCTGCAAGAAAGATGGGATAGACCCACCAGTTTGGCCCTCTAGGAAGTGGCTTCATAATCTGAGCATGGCTGGCTCTTGTGTATCTCTTCTAATTCCTCTCTCATTATAAGGCTGGATCGTGTCCCCAGAGTCCCACGGCCACAAGGCTTTCTCCTAATAAAGCTTGTTCTGAAGGGTTATTTGTGTCAACTTCCTTTTGCTGTCTTCCATTCTTCCTTCATTTGTTTTTTTAATCTATTAAAGATTTCTGTCTCTTCCCCCACCTCCGCCTCCCCTTTCCCTCCCCCTCCCCCAATCAAGTCCCCCTCCCTCGTCAGCCCAAAGAGCAATCAGGGTTCTCTGCCCTGTGGGAAGTCCAACTTCCTTCATTTGTAACAAGACTGTTGTGGAATGTAGTTTTAAGATGTGTTACAGTCTTTTATGTTGCATTTGTTTTACTATGTGAAGCCGTGTTACTTTTCCTGCCTAAAACACTTGATTGGTCTAATAAAGAGCTGAATGGCCAATAGCTAGGCAAGAGATGGTAGGCAGGACTGGAAGGCAGAGAGAATAAATAGAAGAATGAGAAGAGGGAAAGAAGGAGCTAGAGAAGAGGAGAAGGAGGCAAGGATGCCAGGGGCCAGACACCCAGCAACACAGTCAGCCACAGGGTTAGAAGGAAACAAATAAAAAGGTGAAAGTCCAGAAGCCAAAGGTAGACTGGATAATTTTAAGGAAAGCTGACTAGACATAAGCCAAGCTGAGGCCAGGGATTCATAAGTAAGAATAAGTCTCTGTGTATTTATTTGGGATCTGGGTAGGGGCACCCAAAGAGCAAAGAGTAAAAATGAACATCAACTACGCAAGACTGTCACATGGGAAGAAGTGCGCCCCACTGTCCTCGCATCCGCTCCTAGGGCAGGCTTGGGGGTTGTTCCTGAGAGAAACCGCTCAAGAAAAGCCACTCTTAATTTCTTCCCATAGTAACCGGCCTCTTTTGCAATGGTGTGAAGAGGAGTTCAAAGACAAGGAACTCCTGGGGGTGCTGTGGGGGAAGAGCACAGGAGCCCAAGAAGAAGGCTGCCCAAACTCTGCCATAGGAAGACCTGTGGGCAAATTCAAGGCCAATTTCCTGAAAATCCCCTTGGAAACTCAATACTACAGCTGGATGAGGGGGTAGGAGTGGGACTGGGTTGAGGGGAGATTAGATGTCATTAGGAAAGAACAATTTATACATTAGAAAGAAGAAAGATAACAGAAACTGTCGGATGTGAGCTTTGGCAGGTGGATTCCTAGAGTCCATTGTGAGTATGTTTCATAAGTAAGAATATTGATCATAAGTTCCAGTCTGACCTGGGCTACATAGAAAGACCATGTCAAAGAGGGTGGGGGGAAAGAGTAAGGAAATACAAAGTGTATTTCTAGGGAAGGGGGTAAAACTCAGGTGATGTGAAGGGGGAAAGAGAAGAGAGGAAGAGGAAGGGTTAAATGGGGTGGGGGGAATAGAAGGAAGAATTTGGGAAGTGATAACACGAAAAATCTTTTTAAATGCTACATGGAACCTGTGCGGGCTAGTCTTATATCAGCTCGACACAGCTAGAGTTATCTGAAAGGAGGGAACCTCAGCTGAGAAAACACCTCCGTAAGAACTTGCTATAAGGCCTTTTCTTAAGTGTGATTGATGGGAGAGGGACCAGTCCATTGAAGATGGCTCCATCCCTGGGCGGATGGTCCTGGGTCCTGTAAGAGAGCAGGATGAGCAAGTCAGGAAGAGAAAGCTTGTAAGCATCACTCCTCCATAGTCTCTGATTGGCTCCTGTCTCTGGCTTCCTGCCCTGTTTGAGTTTCTGGCTTCCTCTGGTGATGAACTATGATGTGGAAGTGTAAACCAAATAAACCCTTTCCTCTCCAGCTTGCTTTTGATCATAGTGTTTCTTCTCAGCAGAAACCCTAAGACAGAAACCTCCTCTAGAAGCTTCCTAATATAGATAAGTACATATAGAAAAGGAGTTTTAATGGGAGTACTCTATAATGGGAACAATGTCTCTGTCAGACACCATAGGGATATCGAATAACAAGCCCAGTTCCAGGTGCAGGTGACCTCTTTGCAAGCTGTTGTTCAGCAAGGTCCCATGGACATCTTCCCCTAATACTACAAGCTGTTGCCTTTGTTCTCGGTTCCCCTTGATGAACGTGATGGCAGAACCTTAGTGCTGGAGACATCACGTGAATCATGGGACTTGGAGAAACTGAGCTGGGACTGAAAGCTCCATCACACCTGGCTAGCATTCTGAGTCCTAGGAGGGTCTATGCATGCCACCAAAGAAGAAAAGCAAGCAACAGTCTAGCCCGGTTAAGAAGCCATAAGTAGATATGCCTCCTGTTGCAACAGCGGAAAGAAGGCTACGGGAGTAACCAACCACTGCCCCCACGTTTTTACCTTGAGAGCCATAGATTAGTGCATACTGCAATTCTCATTAGAGACCCATAATTGGCCAATATGCAGAGAATAAGACTATGGAGCTCATAGGTAGGATAGCCACCATATGATTTCTCCTTTCCCTAACATTCAGACCAAAGCAGAAGATGGGGTGGAAAGATTGTAAAAGCCAGAGGATTGTCTGCTGTCAAACAGTATTTGCCCAACGAGGCGGCTTAGCCGCACCTATGGACTGGCAGTGGCTGGGACGGCATGCACCGGACGGTAGGGCTGGGCTCATCCCTTGCTCCTTATCCACCTGGGAAATCCACCACGAAGCAGTTTCCTTCCTCTCCCACCCCACCTCAGACAGCCTCAGAACTTATATTAGCCCTCTCTAAACCTTCAAAGATATCTCTATTATGCTTTTGACTTAACAATTGTTAAATTAAACTTTTCGGCAAAATACAATGAACTTAAGCACCAGAACCGAGCGAGGGCAAGAGACTGAACTACTTTATCATTTTATTACTTTTAGTAGTAATGGGGTTGGAACCCTGAACCTTTTGTGTGCTGGGCAAGCATGCGGCTACCCTCCCCCACCCAGGTCAGCACTTCAGATCAGTCGCCTCCTGAAGCCATGGGAGATCACGGTGCTCTGGTATCTGGAGAGAGGGGAATGCAAAGGCGTGTCGGCAATCTTTATCTCCGGAGGGCCTTTCTTCAGGACGACTTTCCGGTCTTCCCCGTGGCAGAGCCGCTCACTGTAACCCCAGAACAGAGAATCTTCCAAGGGGCCAGCATAGATCCCACACGCTTCCGCTTGCTAAGAGAGAAAACACTCTGCTGAATAGCACCAGTTGTCTTCATGTTAGGTTTAAAGACTTTTTTTCTTTCTCCTCCCCCACTCAGTGGCCATATTAGAGTGTATTGCTAATGTAGGTGCTGAAAATTGAACACAGGTCCTCTGGAGGATCAGCCAGTGCTCTTATAGGCTCACTAGGTAGTTGGCTGGCCTGCAACTTGATATCTAGACCAGCCTGGCCTTGAACTCACAGAGATTCTCCTGCCTCTGCCTCCCAAGTACTGGGATTAAATGCGTGTGCCACCATGTCTGGCTTTTTTCTGGCTTTTTTTTTTCTGTTTAAGTTTTTTAAAGACTTAGTTATTTATTATACAATTTTCTGTCTACATGCATGCTTACAGGCCAGAAGAGGGCACCAGATTTCATTACAGATGGTTGTGAGCCACCATGTGGTTGCTGGGAGTTGAACTCAGGATCTCTGGAAGAACAGTCAGTGCTCTTAACCGCTGAGCCATCCCTCCAGCCCTTTCTTTTTAATTTTTAAATTACGTTTATGCAAGTATGTCAGCATCTAAGGCAAAATGGAAAGGGAAGAGCAAGCTACAACACAGTAACCGTTACTCAGTGTGAGCACGCTATTTCATTTTATTCTTTATACTTCATTCATGGTAACTGTTTAAGGTAGAATTCTGCATGCCCACATCCACACACAGACACACACACAGACACACGGAGTCACCGATACTATTGTAAAAGTTGTTGGGAATACATTAACCTACAACTGTAAAAGTGAAGCATCCTTAAAATCACTAAAAAGATCCGGCCGAAGATGGCAGCTCAGTGGTACAGTGCGCCCAGCACCACAGGGAAGCCTAACGGGTCAACCCTCACACCCAAACAAAACAACACAAGGAGGAGGGGCTAATGAGATGGCTCAGGTGGGAAAGGCTCCTGCTGTCAAGTCTAATGACCTGAGTTCAGTCCCTGGGACCCACATGGTGAACCAACCAGAGCCCCCGCCCCCACACACACACTTATACATAAATGCGTAGTAGTTTTAAGGTAACTGGCCCTCATAAACTCATAGGGGGTGACATCATTAGGAGGTGTAGCCTTATTAGAGTAGGTGTGACCTTGTTGGAGGAAGTGTGTCACTGTGGGGGTGGGCTCTGAGGTCTCCTTTGTTCAAGCTATACTCAATGTGGTACACAGTTCACTTCCTGTTGCCTGGAGATTAAGATGTAGGACTCTCAGCCCCTTCTCCAGCACCATGTCCATGTCTGCCTCTAAGCTTCCACATCCTGCCATGATGATAATGGACTAAACCTCTACAAATGTAAGCCACCCCAATTAAATGTTTTCCTTTATAAGAGTTGCCGTGGTCATGGTGTCTCTTCACAGCAACAGAAAGACAAAATGAAACATACCTTTTATAGAAGCAAGCAAGCCTTCTTTAATACATTCAGTATTTCCAACTTCAGTTTATAAAGTTGTTTTTTTTTTTTTTTTTTTTTGGTTTTTCGAGACAGGGTTTCTCTGTGGTTTTGGAGCCTGTCCTGGAACTAGCTCTTGTAGACCAGGCTGGTCTCGAACTC